CCCACCCCTAATATATATATATATATATTTTTTATTTTTTTTTAATTAATGTCAAGTGTTTTGGTAGTAACTACATGAGTCTTTGTGCTACTTGGTGATAGTTCCAAGTCTCGTTGTTTCTAGTCTCTGCAAGCGGCTCTTTGGGCCGGTTGTTCACTGCAGCGGTTTTGACATTAGGATCTATATAAGTTAGAACTGAGGCCATCGATCTCGCTAATCTAAGGGTCAGGCGCTGGCTTTGTTCGTTTGTGATGCATCTGTAGGAGCAGTGTGCGGGTTAACGGCCTCACTCACAGCTGCTCGGTCTTCTCCAACATCTGTGTGCAGAAGTTACACAGATGGAAAACCTCCAACTTCTTGCGCATAATCTCATTGTAGTCCTCCTTCATCAGCTCACTGCACAAATAAATACACAAAGAAAAATGACATCACATGAGAAAACCAACTGAGCTCCACATCTGAGAAGATTTTTGTGACGTGAACTTACATTAAACCTCGAACTCCTTTCCGCACCAGCTCCTGATAAAGCAGCAGAGACTCTGAAGTTTTCCACAAATGGCCGACATCTCCTGCAAAAGTCTGAACAACAGGAAGAGGAAGGTCAGCGAGCATCGAGGGACTGAAGGAAAAAAAGACTGGCTCACGGTGGTCCCTCTGCAAAAAGCTTCAAGTTTTTTTGTGGTAGTTTGTACCCATCCATCCTCTTCCGCTTATCCTTTTCAGGGTCATGGGGGGGAGGCTGGAGCCTAACCCAGCTGTCTTGGGGTGATCTATAAGTTATTTTTAGAGTCCCTTTGCAATCATTTCTAGTCTCTATTTATCTATCTATTTAAAAATAGTTCAGAATTATTCTGTGTAGTTCAGTCTTTGTAACTCTGTAAATCTGTTTGTAAGAGTTCAAAATAAACTTTTTTCTTAAAAGTCACCAGATGAGTGAATTAGAGAAAGATTAATGGGTTAGAGTTCATCCTGAAGTGGTCCTGATTTCTTATGCTGACACACCTAAGCTCCTGTAATTGAACAGGCCGTATAAACTAGCAATGTTTTACTATTTTTTTCCAGGGCCAATCAGATTCACAGCTAAGATGATGTGAGTTCAGTACCTTTGCGTAGCTGGCGTCCAGGTCGAGGTCATAGCGGGGCTGAACTTTAGGAGGACTGGCTGTGAAAACAAAATCAAGTCCAGTTTCTAACCAACATATCCCATCACAAAACCCATCACATCAATTCTGGTTTTATTAAACATGACAGAAGAAAAAAAAGGAAGTGCATACGATCTTCAAAGATGAGTCCCACGGTGGCGACGGACTCACGGCTGACGAGCATGATGGGATTTTCTCTGGAGGTCTTGGGGAAAGTCTTGGCCTGGCGGTTGGAGTCGAGGACGAGGCGGCGGCCCTCGTAAAGCAGCTCCTGATTATGCAGAGGGATGCTGGTCCTGCGGCACAACAGTTCCTGGAACAGCGCTGCCCTGTGGGCACATGAAGAACAGCAGCTTTCAGACACCGTGCAGACTGTTTGAGAAAGCAGGTGCACGGGCACTCAAGGCTTACGTGTTGTACTCATGGATGTAGACGTGGTGCAGTGTGGCCTGCTGCAGGCTGAAGACATAAACGACGGTTCGGTGCAGGATGTCGTTGGTCTCAGCGAAGAACTGATCGAAGCCCCAACATTTCTCCTGATCGGCCTCCAGGATGTTGGCGAGAACTGGGGTCAGGAGGCTCTGAAGACCCCTGAAACAAAACCAGAGACATGATCTGTGTGTGTGACCATGAAGGAAACAACAGGCCGAGACATTTCCACACATATATCCCTCAACATGTTTGTTCATGAGCGTGATGATCAGGGTATGTGAGGGTCTCATACTTTGACAGGCTGCAGGACACCGGCATCTCTGTGCTCCACTCGATCTTCCCGTTCTCACACTTCTGATGGCCAGAGATCGTCCCGGACGGCTTTTCTGTGATGATTTTATACCTGAGGCAGACAAACAGCTGGGTAAGTTTCAGCTCAGTCCAATTCGTGTCAGAATGGTCAAAGGTCACAGCTAGATCTCACATGACTTCTTTGTTCCTGCGCGGCCCTTCGAACGGTCTGAAGGGAAGGCTGCCGGTAGCGGCGTGGTAGAACGTGACACCGATGCTCCACAGGTCCACCGTGGCTCCATACTTCTTCTGGTGGTCTTTTCTCAGCACAGCGCGCTCGTACATGTCAGGGTGCTGCATAAGAGACATATGAAGAAGAGTTACTCAGCAGCAGCTGCACCAGCTGTGACATCACTAACTGGCATGTTTGTGTATGCTGCCATCCTTTATCTACAGTTCCTGTTCACTGCGTGCGTTTGTTTTGCTGACCAGGTACTCCTCAGTGCCATACAGAGACACAAACTGCTCGTCGTCCTCCAGCTCTCTCGCTGCTCCAAAGTCGGTCAGCTTGTAGACGGAGCGTCCGTCCTCTCCGATCACCCTCATGATGTTTCCCGGTTTGATGTCCCGGTGAACGATGCCGTACTCTCTCAGGTGGTTCATACCTGCCACTGAAGGGGGCACAACAACCAATCAGTTTCAGTCGCCATATTGAACCATTTATATGCATTTCTTTCCACATTTAAAGAGAAGACTGATCACTCGTGTTTGATTTCCTTTTAACTGCTCAAACTTCACAGAGCAAGATTTCACATTTAAAAGAACCTGATCAGCTGGAACCAACGCAGAGTGTCACAGTTAAATGTGTCCCTCACCAACATCATGGAGAACAATGAGGAACTCGTCCTCGGGGAGTCCATACGCATTGGATGACTCCTCCAAGACAGTGTAGAGACTCCCGCAGGGACAGTACTCCATCACCAGGACCTTGTGACGGGTGTTGGACTGAGAGGAGGAGGAGGACGTTAGAAGGATGTTTTTACTCTCCTTAAAGATGTCAACATTATTTCTCAGCTACAAAATATAATTTCAGCTTTGGTCAATTTTTACATGTTAGTTTAGTTTGAATTCACTTTGAAGAACCACATAAACTGAGCCTAAAAGCTGAAACTAAAGCTGGAGCTGAGAGTCAGGAGGTAGAAGCGCCCGACAGGCTAATTTAGGGCTAAAAATTACTTGTTTTAGTTACTGAAACAAACATCTGCAAAACTCTTTTAATAACCACGAAATTTGAATCTTTACATTAAAAACTAAAAAAAATGCGAAATCTGAATGTTGTTGTCAGATTTATGGCATAAAAAAGGTTATACTTTTGTCTTCAATTTAAATATTTAGGACTTCACTCTTGTTTCTGTTTTTTAGGTTCCATCTTGTTTTCCTCCTCTTACATTAGAGGAAATATTCCTTCTTGTTTTGGGCTATAAACCAATTTTATGATGATGGGAATCTTTAGTGGCAGCTTTCAAGGTTTTGAAGATCAACAACATGAAAAATGAAAATAATATTTTCTGCTTTTTTAAATTAAATATAACTTAACTATGAAGAGCAGGTAACACTCCCAAATTCTGCTGAATATTGTTCACATTTACAGCTGAATAAACTCTGTAAACTTAGACAGCTGAACAAATAAATGAAGCCGAGCACAAGGATACAGTGGCAATACCTCATCCTTGTGCTCGGCTTCATTTGTCTGACGGGTTCTTTTTCACAGTGAGTATGAGTCGTGGGTCAAACCTTCAGAGGTTTCTGTCTGGCAGAGTGGAGCTGAGCCCTTTATCACGGCCTCACATCATTCAGACACTTTTGGGCCTTTCAGCTCAGTTATGGGACTCACAGGTATTGTGTGAGCCAGATGTGGCCAAAAAGTTGCGACATACCTGACATCTGGCTCATATAAGATGAACCTGAAGCTGCGTTAAAGCATGTAGACTCGACCTGAATCAACAACAACAGCCAGGCCCGAATGTGGGCCAGCAGTTGCACATCTGGGCCACATCTGGGCCCAGATGTGCAACAGCCCTAGCTAACCTAACATGTTATTTCTGGAAGATTCCCGTTTCCTCCTGGGATCAAATCAGGGATCTTTCACTTGCTAGGACTAAATATTCTCAGTAAGAATAAAACATGAAGTTACTGACCTCCTCCTCCACAGCGAACAGCTTCACGATGTTCTTGTGGTTGAGTTTCTTCAGCACCTCGAACTCTCTCATCTGGACATCGAGCGGCCGCAGAAAACTCAGGTTGTTGAACACCTTGACAGCGTATAGGTCGCCGGTTTTCTACACACAGACGTGTACATTACACTCAAGAATCATCACTTTTTAAATAAATCCTGTTTTTAATAGAGGTGAAACTCAGAAGGACCATAAATATACTGGGAGAAATTTGCCCTCAGCGTAGTCTGCAGGCTGAAGGCAGCGTGAAGGGTTTAAAGCACAAGCTGAGCTCAGACACGAAACTCAACCCGACATCAGATTTAATTATTCAGATCTGAAAAGGAGAAACTTTTCTGCACAGTAACAACATTTTTATGAATGAATTCAACCTGGAACAAATAAATGAGATCAACATCGGCGTGAAGATCAATAACGCAGGTTTTACTAAAGACTGAGTTTGTTCACCCCAAGATGATGTTACCAGGGTAACAGACTATGAAGTCAATGACTCCGCCCCTCATGCAGAAGTAGCTGCCTGGCTCTTTTTCAGTCGGAATCGAAGCTCATATGAAAGCTTTCACGGCTTTACAAACAAGAAACTAATGTTAACTTGTTATTTGTTAACTGTGGATAATAATGGATAATTGTGGATTTTGTGACTCAGGACATAAACAAACTCTGATTGGGTTTTGTAGAACCGAAACTCAGAGTTCAGGTTTAGAATTTGTTAAACCTGCTTTCTGGAATGTGTCCAGGTGACATCTTTAGGTTTGAGAAGGTGAAAATAACATATGAGCCTCTCACTCTGACATGTTAAACCATAAACTGTAAGCGTACCTGAATGTTTCCCCTTTGCAATCAGGGGAAACACTCAATATCTATCTGCTGTCTACCATCAGTTCTGAACTCAAATATTGCTGAAAGACTTTGAAACAGTTCACTTCTTCATAAACAGAAGGGATCAAAACCAGAATAAAAATATCTTGATATCTTCACGGAGTGTTTCTGTATTTCCAGAGAGAAAAACAATTCGCGGCTGGCATGGCAAAATACCTTGTGCCGTCCACGGTAAACATTTGCCGTCGCTCCCTGACCGAGCAGGTCTGAGATCAGCCACAGGTAGTTGGCGGTGCTCTGCATCCTGAAGGCTGCGGGTGATCCTGCAGACACAGCACAAACTGATCAACATCAAGGGAAACAACGATTAATACACAACACAACCCAATCAGTCGAGTTTACTGCTAAAACACTTGGAGGTAAATAGATTAGCTAAAAAGGAGACAGCAGTTGTTACTGATACAGTAAGAAGCAGATTTCTATTTTGAAAATCTAGTAACTTAAACCCTAACTGAGGGCCTTTACTTTGAAAATCTGAGGCATTTCTTAGAGTTTATTTTCTCTTAGAAGCATGTTAGTCTTACTTTAAAAGATTAAGGGCCTGTCAATCAGTATTCATCAATATACAGCATAACCAGCCAGTTTATACACACTAGAGACTCTGGCTGTGTCTGATTTATATTGATAAATCAACAATCAGGTCATCAGTACTAAACAGTAGTGAACAAATCATCGATACAGATTGGGCATTTTGGTGTATACTGATCTGAATTTGTGGCATCCATTGATTGTTATTTGTGGTTTGTATGGGTCAGGTATTTCTGATCTACACTGTTCAGCTGTTATATTGATCAGTTGTTTCTAAGATGCATCCATTAGCTGGCTGTGGTGTAGAGTCCACAAACAGCTAATCGATAAAGAGCAAAAACAATACATCAATATTCAGCAGAAACAACTAATCAATAACTGATAAAGTGATAGTGTTAAACTGCTGTACATATCAGTAATAAATCAATCAAT